GGGGACACGGGGGGACACGGGGACAGAGCAGGATATGGGGATGGAGCAGGATACAGAGATGGGCTGGACACGGGTAGGACACAGTGATGGAGCAGGACATGGGGACAGGCAGGACACGGTGACAGGCAGGACATGGGGACAGGCAGGACACGGTGACAGGCAGGACACGGTGACAGGCAGGACATGGGGACGGGCAGGACACGGTGACAGGCAGGACATGGGGACGGAGCAGGACCCCATGGATGCAACAGGGCAGTGGGGATGGAGTCCCAAGGACAAAGCAGGAGCTTGGGGACACTCAAGACCCAGGGGATGGGGCACAACCCTGGGGACAACCTAGAGCCCGCGTTGCAGCAGGACCCTGGGGAGGGCGTCCTGGGGACGGGGGGGACAAGGAGCACCCTGTCCCTGCGTGCAGGGACACGGCAGGAGCCTGGGGACCGTGCGGAGCCAGGGATGCGGGATGGGGAGCGGAACCTGCAGCTCCAGCGACTCCTCGAGGGGCTGCTTGATGAGGAAGGAGAAGCCTTCATCCCACACGGGCTCGCAGCTGGGGGCGCAGGTCTGGGGGGGCACAGGAGCCAGTGAGACCCCCCCAGCACAGCCCCCCCCGGTGCCCCCAGTGTCCCCGGTGCCCCCGCGCGGGCGCCCACCTTGGTCTTGAGGGTGACGTCGCGCACGGAGAGGCTGGCGCAGGCGGCCGGCGCCTTGGAGCCCTTGCGCACCTGGGGGGGCAGCGGGTGGGGGACAGGGCTGGGGGGGGCGGCCCCCTCCCCCCGAGCCCCCGCGCGGGGGGCCCCGGCGTCCGGGCGGCGCTCACGGGCAGCTCGGCGCCGCGGTCCACGTAGACGGAGAGCAGCGCGGCCGAGAGCTCGGGGCCGTGCGCCGGGCGCGCCAGGCTGTTGGTACGCAGCACCTGGGGGGGTTGCGGGGGGGCGCTGAGCCCTGCGCGCTCGTCACACGGGTGACACCCCCCCCGGTGTCCCCTGCGCCGGTACCTGCTCCAGGGCGGCCGCGCTGGCCGTGGCCTCCAGGATCTCCAGGCGCACGTGGAGCCGCCCGGATTTGACCCCCTCCAGCGGC